CAGAGAGACCTAGGGGGTGCAGGTACATAGTTCCTTGAAAGTGGCATCACAGGTAGGCAGGGTGGTAAAGAAGGTATTTAGCATGTTTGCCTTCATTGATCAGAGCATTGAATAAAGGAGTTGTGATGTAGTGTTACAGCTGCATAAGACACTGATAAGACCACATTTGGAATACTGCATACAATTCTGGTCACCATGCCATAGGAAGGATGTTATTAAACCGGAAAGGGTACAAAAAGACTCTTACTTATTCATTCACAGGATGTAGGCATCGCTGGCTAAGATATTACTGAGACTGGAAGGTTTGAGTGATAGAGAGGCAGGATAGGCTGGGACTTCTTTTTCCCTGAAGCGTATAGAGGGTTGACCTTATAGAGGGTTATAAAATCATGAGGGGCATGGATAGGGTGAATAGCAAATGTATTTTCTGCAGGGTAGGGGAGTCCAAAACTAGAGGGCAGAGATTTAATGTGAGAAGTGAAAGATTTAAAAGGGACCCAAGAGGCAACTTTTTCCACAGTGGGAGCTGTGAGAGGATGTGGTAGAGGCAGGCACAATTAAAACATTTAAAAGACATTTGGACAGGTACATGGATGGGAAAGGTTTAGAGGGATATGAGCCAAACGCAGGCAAATGGGACTAATTCAGTTTAGGAAACCTGGTCAGCATGGATGAGTTGGGCTAAAGGGCCTGCTTCGGTGTTATATGAATCTGTGACTTTATGACTCTAAAAGCCCAACTCTGAAAAATTTTAGGATATTCATTATTGAATCTGATGAGCTCAATCTACTAGACACCCCAAATTATTAATTTGTACTTCGGAAAGACACCACAACCAATGAATATGAAGGCAGAAGCAGGACCAGCAACAAATCCAGGAGCAGCAGCAGGCAGGCATGGAGGACAAGGAGCAATGAACTCAGGGAGAGGTGACAAACACATACTCCCCCAGCATGCGTGGGATCTGCAGGAAGACCAAAGTTTCCTGACTCCAACTCCACGAGCGAAGTGCAGTGCCAATATAGACCCCATGTATCCAGGACACAGTGACAGAACTGTGCTAGATGCTGAAGCAGAAACTGAAGCTTTCAGGAGTGGGAGGTCATCCTCTCCTGGTGGCTGAGAAGGTCACTGCGGTACTGAAAGTCAATGTGACTTGTTTCTTCCAGGAAACGGTCGGAAACCTGTGTGTGATTTCTCAGTTGTGACAAACGCATCAGGACAGTGAACAATGTCATTTGTGGAAGGTCACATAGGTTCATTTTGCTTCCCCAAGATGAGGTGAGTGCTGAAGCCTGGGCAGTTGGATTTGGTGACAGAGCTGGGTTTCCTGAGATGCAGTGTGCTATCACTGCACACATGTAACACAGACAGCTGTATCATAATTCAGTGTAATTCATCAACAGGAATGGATTCCATTCAATTAATGTGCAGGTAATCTATGATCACTGCTAACACTTCTTGAAAATACGTGCCTGCTATCCTGTCAGTTGCAATGACTCGTACATTACTGAACACTCTCATATCCCTGGTGCATTTGAGGGTTCAGGAGTCTTACAAAGCTGGTTTCTGAGGAACAAGGGTATTCACGAGGACCATGACCCATGACACCATTGTGGAACCCTCTGACAGTTGCAAAATGCACGTGCAGTGCTGTCTTTACCTTAAAAAAAGACTGTGATGGATCAGAGAATAATGCTGTTGAAGTTGCAATTCCACTACTTGTACAGTTGTGGAGGCCCTCCAGTATAAGCTGGGCAGAGTGTGCTGCATTTTCCTGGTGTATTGTTCCCCGAATAATTGGTGCAGATAATGTAGCGATATCCTGGATGTAACTGGAGGAATGGGGCCAGTCTTCCAAGGAAGAGGATGAGGACATGGAGATGGGTTGGAGTAGGTTGTCATTCTTCATGACAGAGATCAGCTGTGATGGGAGCTCCAACACGGACAGAACTTCATTGACAAAAACAGAAATTGCTGGAGAAACCTAGCAGGTCTCGAAGCATCTCTAGAGAAAAATCAGAGTTAATGCACCAAGTCCAGTGACCATTCTTCTCTTCTGACAAAGGGTCACTGGAAACAAAACAGTAATGCTGTTTTCTTTCAGAGATGCTGAGTTTCTCCAGCAATTTCTGTTTTTGTTTGTTTCAAAGATGGCTTATGGGCAAGGGATACTGGTTTATCGGCAGGCATCAACTGAGTGGCAAATTGTTCTGGGAACAATATATATAATGATGTTGGGGCAAAAATTACATGCAACAGATGCCAAAGGGGCAAGATTGTTACTAACGAGGTGCGTTTGGTAAGATAGGATGAAAAATCTCACTAGGCCTCATGGCATTAAACTCTCCGAAAAACTTGATGTAACTCTGACTTAGCCATAAAATGATAATTTTCAGCCCAGGAAAACTGACATAATAAATTTCTTGTAAATCAATGTGCAGTCTCTAGATGAAAACTGCAGGAACCTAGGAGCTACTGTATGGTGGACAACATAGTAGATACTATTATGGCTGGGAAGACATTTTTATATTAAGGATTATGTAAAAAAACTGCAAAGAATGGAACTGTTTGGATATTTTACAGATTGAAAAGGATATCTTGGAAACAAAGTCAACAGTTTAATGTGTGTTGTGGTTTACCTGCTGTTTATAAAGAAAAAAGTCAAGTGACTTTGGCAAAAAGGCCCGCAAATCTTTCAAGTTGATAAGAGATTGGGATTATGACTTTTATTTGCTGGAGAAAGCTGGTTTTGAAAAGATTATGAGGGCCTTTATGCTAATGAGTGCCTAGCAACACTTTCTATTTTCCTGTTTAACACACCTAAGTGGTTAATAAGGAAGAAACCCGAGAAACTGTCAATGTTTCTCCCTCTTTATCTCAGCAGACATCCTAAGAACCTGATAAAGTTTCCAAATATCAGTATTCCTTAACTACCATATAAATCTTCAAAAACAGAACTGTGAACATTTTCCAAAGACTCGATCTACCTTGATCTTCAATGAAAACTGAAAGCTTCCATCAGTCTACGGCTGTCAGCAATTCAATTTCAATGACAAAGAACCCAGTGACCAGTGAGGAGTTGAAAAGTTATATTCTTTGTTTTCAGACCCTTAGCAAACAGGAGTGTTTTTACTTTTGAAAAACAACAATCTCTGCAGAGGCTGTTGTCTTAATGTGCTGTTTGTGTGTGTTCGGGATTAAGGGGATATAGTTTGTATTCTGTATTATAGTTTAGAAGTTAACTAGTGTTTACTTGTATTAATGACATGTTTTGTGTCACAATAAATGGATTAGTTCGAGTTCGTTAAAATTGCTTTTATTCTGCATATGACTACAAAATTCAAATTGACTAGCCATTTTGTGATTGAATCAACACATTTATACAAATGGTATGACTAGTGAAGTAGTGGGTAATTTAATACTGAAAAGCTTATTTCATAAAGGTTTTCATTTAAGTGTTATCACATCTCAAAACGTCTTAAATTCTGTGATGTACTTGAGGTGTAGAAGCTATATTAGACAAAAAGATGCAGTTGTTTAGCTGTGACCTTAGCAGGCCACATAAAGCATGTTTATCATGAAGGCTTTTTGCGTATAGAAGTGTGTCAGTTTTCTTTGGAAAGGATTTATTGTTTATTATTTGTTTGTTGTCTTGTGCTGATTTAAATACTGTGGTTTCTGGGAAATTGATGTTTTCCTTGTCTGTTGTGGCTTTAGGTTTGTTGAAACAGTGGTGATTATTGGGATGTTGATGAATTCTTCTAATTCTGCTTTTATGAGAGTCCAAATATCCCACGTACCACCAGAAATACAAAAGGCAGTGTAACTAAGTGTGTGCTTCACCACCTAGTAATAAGAGTTCATGAGACTGAGAAAGGTGCACCTGAAAGCCAGGAGGTAGTCCCCAAAAATCAGAAACAGAAATCTCAGCAGGAGCCCCAAAAAGGAAAAAAACATTTTGAACTCTGACTCTGCTCATACGAAATTATGCTGCTCATATCCGATATTGCAGTAATTCCTGATCATCCAAAACACTTGACTTCACCAACCTGTATTGGCTTCCATTTCCCCAGTGCTGTAAACTTAGGATTGTGATTTTCCCAAAGGCATTTCAGTCAACTAATGGTCAGGATGAAGGTCTATCATCCAATTAAAGACAGCCAGCAGGCTCTTAAAGGTAGAGTGATAATTAGAGACCTTACAGCTTGAAAGGACAGTAGGCAGTAATGGAAGATTAGTAATGTCAAGGGTACCTCATCAAGGGCACTCCCCCTCTAACTTTTTAAAACTCATTAATCAAGAAATAGGTTTAACGGACAGGTCACGAGTGATTGGCAGAAAGTAGTGCATTTCTCTGCAAGTGTAAAAGCTAATAGGAGTTGTTATAGGCTGTTGTTTCATTCCAAAGCATTTAGAATAATCCAGCAGGTTAACTCTAAAAACAAATAATATTATGTTTTAATCAATCAAGTATAAACTCAAACTGAAGTTTTTGTTACTCATGCCTTTTCAGTCAAAAGAAAAGCGTGTTAGGTTTCATTTTAAAGTTCTGATTTTCTGAATCTGGTACAAATTGAATGGTTCATTGATGTAGAAAATTGGAATATATTTTGATTCATAGAATGATGCAGATGGACAAATCTTCCATGCAACATTTGCTCTTTAAAAAAATTGCACCGTCATGACTAATTAGTGATCATTAATTTTTTTATTTCCGCATGGAAGATAGTTTTCCGTTGAATAGTCTTCTTCAGCTGTTGACAAGACATGATGGAAGACAAAATGTCTCCATGATTAATATCTATACTGTTTACCATAACTATTAGCAGCAGAGTGCGATAGATGATGGTTAGACTGCCCCCTGCAATTGTATTAAAAATTAATAGGAAACATTATAAAGTAAATAAAATCATACATCACCTAAAACACTTATCCAAATCAGCTCTTAACTCTTACAAACTTTCTCACTTATTGATCGGGAGTAGATGAGAACTTACCATGAATATCTGCCAACTTTTGCCCCATCCCATCGTAGTAAATCCTTCCACCTTGTGCTGTTGGAAAAAAATAGGTCATGAGCGAACTGGGAGGCGAGCAATAGGAATATGAACCAAGCGGCATGTCCTTGAGGACTTCATGAGGTTTCCAGCAAAATTCTCGAAACCTAGGGTGGTCCATGACTTTCTTCTCAATGTTGTGAATTGTCAACAAACGTTCTTTCGTGAAGATATTCCTTTCATCATCACCTCTTGCTAGAAATACAAGCTCCATCCTCCATAGTGCATGTGTCTGAGTATCTCCATTAATGTAAGTGTTTGGATAGCTCATGTGTGTCACTGCTCTTGTTTTCCGCATTTTGTATCTGTCGTGGCTCTTCTTGGTCACAGGTTGTGAGAACAAGTCTCTTTTGCTCAACTGAATTCCATCAGGCCCTTGGGCTTCACCTGATTTGTAAATAGTTTTGCCATGGGAGGCATCGACTAGCTGAGAAGAATTATTGTGCAGTTTTTGCAGCTCTTCTATGATGAGTTTCTCTAAGGTGGCAGATGTGTACTCAGCCAAATCACGTCTGTTCCTCCCCCAGGACCCAAACTGTGATTTTAAAGCAAGGGTCAGTGCATCAAAGCGCAGTGAGGATACATGGTTACGAATCTCAAAGGCATTGTAGGATATATCAATATCGAGGGCAGAACAATGTAAAAGCATAACAACAGTCAGAATTGTTGGGATTATGCAACCTATTACTAATATTAAGGCAGTGCAATATGGGTTAGTAAATATCCACCCAACTACTCCCCAAAAACCTTTAACTTGCAAATCATAGAATAATCTTTTAAAGTTACAGTGACATTTCTTGCACAGCCTTTGGCCTCTATAAGAGTTTACCAACACGTTGTCTTCTTCTTCCTCGAGCCACAGATGCTGCACCAAAGGGTCATCATCACTTTCCATTTTAGTTTTGCCCTGATGATTGATGTTAGTTGGTGGGGGGGTGGGGGGGTGTTGGGGAAGGTTCTCAAGCAAAACTGGAAATTTGATGCTGGAGTCTCCTTTTCTTCAGTTTGTCCTCCACATGAATCGCCTAATTACAACATCTACAACAGAAAATACAATATAATAAAGGTTATAACTTGTAAAAAATGGAACATAGCCAACCTAAGCATTAAAGCAATTTGGCATATAATTTAGGCACAGTGTAAAATATGATTTCTATTAATCAATTCCTAAATTGACCTCTCTTGATTCCTGGTATAGTTAAAATCCGATAGACCCAGAGGACCACTGGGGTGCTCTCTCATTAGACAGAGATGACCGGTGTTGGTTAAACTTGAGGGTCACCGTGCCTCTGGCGAGAGAACAGGTTGAGAAGTAGAGTCCTTCGTGATAACATCAGTTGATGCAGGACTAGAATCCACACTGTTGACATCTCTCTGTAATGTAAACCCAGCCATTCAGCCAACACAGCTAACCGACCCCACTATTATAAGTTGGTATAAAACATCCTCATCTTTCTTGTGGCAATGCTTTGCTGTCAGATTGAAAAATGTACAAGTTGAAAATCTTCTACACCAAGATATTAGAATCCATTTTATATGCAAATACATGATAGCATGTGGTCAACTTTCCTTCATTGTACGGGCTACTTGCATTAATTATTTAGAAGAAAATATCCAGTTTTCTTAATTAAAACTTTACAGTGGCTCAAGATGTAAAGCTAAAGAGATGCAGGTGGACAAATGAAGGAGAGCTGCATTATTGTAGGGATTGGGATCAACTGGACAAGCAACAGCCATAACAGAGTCACAGTCTTCAGCTCTAGAATCTCTAGCACCACCTGATTGTCAATAGCATTTGTTCCAGATCACTGTAACAAATCAAAGGACTATGAAATTCTGATTCCTGACTATTTAAGGCTGTCAAACCTTCTCTTAAAGTATTGGATTTGTCTGCAATCCTTGAACAGCTAAGGAGAGCAGCTTCTACATAGAATGACTTTCCCTTAGTTCATGGATGTACAACACACAGGACAGCTTGCTAAAATCAAGGTAGGTGGATCATGAAAAATCTGTAGTTTTGGGATAGTTAGTTATGTACCAGTCCTGATTCCTGCTGTGTACTAGATGAACTGATTTCAATTGGGGTTTAGTTTATAAGGACACAATTCTTTCTCTGGTTGATAGTCTCTCATTTGAAATTAAAGAATGGCAGCCAGCATGTTGGATGGCATAATGTCTGCCAATTCCTCATGTGATCATATGCTTCGCAGCTACACAACAAGACCCGGAGTTATTCAGTGAACCATGAGTGAGCCGGGCCTTCTGATCTCAAAGGCACTGGTCCCATATTCAAAGGCTAGGTAGAGACCACCTCACATGCAGCAAGCCAGATATGGGATCTAAGAAGCTGAACCTTGCTCCCAGCTTTATTGAAATTGCACTTTAGACACAGCTCGATGGGGTAATGGAGAGAGGATTAGTCCTCTTCCCAAATGACTGAATAAGAAAGCCATTCTATCACTGTTGGCCAGCTTAGGTAGAGATTACAGCAGAGACTACTGCTATGGCCACATGAAAACTGGATGGGCAATATTGCCACCAAAGGCCAATGATCTCATGACCTCTGCAAGGTTAAGATGTATCATCTTCTCTTCGCAAACTTGCACTCACAAGACTATCACTCACTCTGACTCTGTCAGGGCACTCACGTCTCATCCAAGGTCATTCATTTTGATTTCACATCTAGTCTTGTTTGCAATAGCTCCCTCTCAGCAGACCTCATCACATTCTGCTATTAACGTTTATCATTGGTGCCTACTCTTCTAGAAGTCAACTTTAATTCTATTATCATTCCCTTTGCCTTTTGCTCTGGGCACAATTACCATCTGTTCTGCTTGCTTCTCCCCACTTTTATCGATAGCAAAATAAATATCACACTTTCAGTTCCTTTCAGTTCTGCAGAAGTCATAGTAGATTTGAAACTTTGGTTGGAATCTTATATAGGCTATGGGGGGGCGAGTAGAAGGATTGGGTGCAATGTTAGTCACAACAACGATTTCATCTCACGATGTCCCTCCTTTGCTCAAGCGGCATGGTGAGATTCAAGCCAGAGAGAGGCGAGTTCCCAACCGACGCGCTTTATTGCTTGCCACAGGTTGTGATTTTACCAAACTTAGTATACACACTAGCTTTTGGGAAAACTTGACATAGAAATAAGAGCAAATTCTTGGCTGGTTCAACTTGCCACTTGATCCAGGAATCCATGTTGGTCATGGACAAACTGGAGAATAGAGCACAATCCACCAGCATCAGCCACACGTACCTTCCTACTTGTACATTGACACTCCACTTTCAGGGAGGCATCACCACCATCCTGGCGTACTCCAATGCACTGATTTACTCCTCTAATCACAATGCCACATGTTAACCAATTTCAGGTTGTGATTCTGATGAAGGGTCTAGGCCCGAAACGTCAGCCTTTCTGCTCCTATGATGCTGCTTGGCCTGCTGTGTTCATCCAGCTCTGCACCTTGTTGTCTCGGATTCTCCAGCATCTGCAGTTCCTACTATCTCTGCCACATGTTAACGCTGTCTTTCTCTCTCCACATATGCTGCCAGATCTGACTGTCTCCAAAACATTCTATTTTTATTTCATCTCATCAAGTGTTATAGGCTGTAAGCCTTAATGTCACATGCACCATGTCTATTTGAGGATTCACATCCATTTCATCCACTCATATAACTAACCTTTACTGTCCTCAGTGTTGCCTACTTACTTACTGGGGATGCCTCACCATTTCATCTGGTTGGTTGGTTGATTGATTGATTGATTTATTGTCACACGTACCGATGTACAGTGAAAAGCTTTGTTAATGAGCAGTACAGGCAGATCATAGTAAGCAAGGATGTACAGATCAAAAAGACTTAGACAGAGGCATACAGGTTACATTGCACAAGGTGTGCGCTAGGCGAGATCAACATTAGCAAGATCAGCATTATTTGAGGCTAGAGAGTCCATACATCAGTCTAATAATGGCCTGGAAGAAACTATTTCTGAGCCTGCTCGTGCATATGTTCAGGTTTCTGTATCTCTGCCTGACGGAAGAGGTTGTAGGAGATCATTACCAGAGTTATGCTAGATTACAAACTGCTCCTGCATTCATTCACATCATACTCAAGCTTTCTCTTTATTTCATTTCAGGAAAAAAACAGCAGGCTCCTTGCCCCTATTGATAAACGAATCAAAGAAATCGCCAGGGAAGACTGAGCATGCTCATTCGGTGACAGGGAGATGTCAATTTTATAATCAACATTTTGCCCTGCTTTTCTTCAATATGCAACAATGCCAACTCTTTGTTCTGCATATGCTTTTTGTTTCCATCTTCACAAACCAATTTCCTCTTTTATTTGCAGGCACTACCAGCACCCAGTGAACATCAGAAAAAGGCTCTTCTCTGCACCACTTCTGAGGAGGAAGTGTATGAACCCTCAGAGGATTCAAAGCCACAGCATTCACCTGAACCCTCCACTTAGCACAAGACAATGTCATGACCCTAAAGTACTGTGGGCATTTTTCACTTATAATTTAATGCTTTTAAAAAGTGGCTTATACAGTGAAAAAACATATGTCGGTGTAAATTAAACCCCTGCCTGGATGGAAACATTGTGGGAATGTCACACATACAAATGTGTAACTTCAAACAACCCATCTGAGGGGGGTGGGAGGGTAAGAGACATAAAAAGACTGAGATCTCTTGTCACTATAAAGATAAAAAAGAGCTGATACCTTCTGCTCAACAGCAAGTCTCTGAATCATGGATTACACCCAAACTGCAGACATATTTTGCATTGAGTTCTGAGGAAGGGTCACTCAACCCGAAATGTTAACTCTGATGTCTCTCCACAGATGCTGCCAGATCTGCTGAGCTTTTCCAGCTATTTCTGTTTTTTTCTTCTGACTTACAGCATCTGCAGTTCTTTTGGTTTTTATTCAGGACAACAAAAGGTTCAGCTTTCACCCCGAACACTGGAATTTATCACAGTGAAGTCAGAACTACAGAATCTCAACCAATCTGCAAAACTAAGGATCATGAAACTGACTTGTTGAACTACCCCGTCAATGCTACTGGTAACTTTCACTGCAACTGCTGCAACATTGTATTGTTCACTCTTTGTGGACAATTCAAACACTAATCTGTATATCTGCTTCTTTAAAAACTTTTATCTTTTGGACTTGTTTTTAATGAGTATACACATGTGTTGTTACTCATTCTTTTAGGGTTTAGTAATTAATAAACTCACGCCTTGTTAAATCAAGAAGACCTGGCTGAATTGGCTCTTTTTAAAACATAAGTTTGTTCGGGTTTAGGACAAAATTATCTACAAAAGGATAGGAATCATTTTTAAATTAACTTTGTGGTAACCGTCCAGGGAGGGCAGGTGAATAAAGATGAGGAGCCAGTGCATCCAACCTCACCAGGGAACTGAACACTAAGGGCTATCCTGTCTGGAACCATAACCTACTGGGGAACATTGCTTGGGATCTGAGCATAACAACAATCACTTCAGGTACTCAACATTGATTAAACCCAAGAACACAATCTGCAGAACACATCACTGATACTTCTGCACAGCTGGTGGAGAAAGAAACACCTCAGGTCTCTGTCATTCAAAGGACAACCAGAGACCCTGCACTTGCTGAGCTCCTTACAGAAGCCATTAACATGGCTCAGGAATGGACAGGACTGGCAGCTTAACATTCCTGGGTAAAGATGCTATAAGAAGGACAGAAAGGGAGCAAGAGAGCACGGGGAGTGGTGTTTTTAGATAAAGATAACATTACAGCTGTACTTAGGAAGATATTCCTGGGAGATCGTCCAGTGAAGTTATATGGGTGGAACTGAGAAATAAGAAAAGGATGTTCACCTTGTTGGGATTGTATTATAGGCCTCCCAA